CCCCAAAACCCCAAAACCCCAAAACCCCAGGGAAATAATTTACCTTGAGGACGGTTTTACTTGCAACTATGAAACATTCAAAAGAAACTTAGACTAATTCTTGTCCGTGTAACAAGCTACTTTGGCCCTTGAGGTCTTGGACTTTTGAGTATATGCACAAAATGTTGTGCTCTTGGCAAACTTTCCAGTAAGTATGCACAATTAGGAGTAGGATTGGGGCAAAAGTGAAGTAGATAGTACTAAGTACGATCTTTCCGATGAAATCAATGTCATCGAAGATAACTAGGATTGATTGAAGGAAAACTATCACTATTACTACGGTAGCTGTAAATATGAATAATCTTTTTGAGTACTCTCTTGTTGGGCGATTGAGTTTGCCAAAGAGTATCGCTCCGAGAACTAAATGGAGGACGCAATATTGAACATATGTGAACAAATATAGTATGCTGCTGTTTCCTTCTTCAGTGCCTGAAATAGATTTGATCAGTTCTATTCCAGGTGAAAATATCTGAAACAGTCCCTTCAAAAAAATGATTGCTATAGGGTATTAAGACCGTAAATATAACTACTGTAGCTTACCTCCAATGGCTATTATTGCTATAGTCATGTTCTTTAGCTTCTTATCTGCCACATTGATTTGATATCTAGTTGCTGAAGCATGTTCATTCTTTGATATAAACTTGCTAAATATTACATTTAAATCAATGAGTCTTAAGAAAATAGATAAGATAGTATCCTAAACTCAGTTTTTCATAACTACTACAAACCCTAACTTGAGTATTTAGAATCTTATTATCAAGAAACCAGCCCATGTCATTAAAGGAATTAGGAAGGGATATTTCCTTCAGCCAGCTCTTCACATGTCCAATGGAAACTTTCAGGTGAAGAATTTTGATCACAATTATACAATGTCTTACTTTCATTGAGCCTCTTGGATTTTCAAAGGTTCTAAAAGAAAGTATTACATTTGAATGACTTCATTAATAAAAATGGGCAGCTGAGCCAGAATAAGTATCACAAATCCAGAGATGTAAAATTAAGGAAGGGGATCTATTTTATACCTTCTCTTGGAGTCTTCTCAAGATCCAACATTGCTTGCGTAATTTTATAAAATCAAGAAATTATATCTGATTTGGGGTTTTGGGGTTTTGGGGTTTTGGGGG